CTATTTTTAGTAACCATGGCAACACCGTTCATCAAAATCAAAAACCGATGCACAGAATTATGTATCTTAGTGTAGTCTACTTGTGTGCCAAGTTATATTGAAATCGGACCAAAACTGTAGGAGGAGTAGCATTTTGAAAAATTGTTTACAGACAGACAGACAGACAGACAGACAGACAGACAGACGGACGGACGACGGACGCATTACTATCGCATAAGCTCTTCTGGTCTCTGACCAGTAGAGCTAAAAACGTATTTACGTGTTATTTAAGCCCCCGGTTTAACAACAGTGTGAAACTACGGAGGCATTGAACAGGCAAGTTGGAGAAAAATAAGTAGAAAAACAATTCAAAGAAGTTTTAACTACATTTACATAAAACTTTATTTAAATGCGGTACTCGTTAAAATACCAGTTTATTTTCTTAATACGTTCATGTCACGGAATTACCCCGGTAATTTTAGAGGTTTACATGTTCTGATACGTTGTATCTGTGTAAGATTCTTTCGAAAATAGATAAAAAAAAAGCCTCGTCCTATATAGTAAGTTCGTCCTATATAAGGATTTTTCAAAAATTAAGGCTAAAAATGAGCCTTTCGACCTATGTACCACATCGACCTGTAATCCAAAAATTACGGTAGTTTGAAAGTACAAATGAATGCAGTTCAGAGCAAAAGTCAAAAACATAAAATGTCCTTTGAATGTCGATGTGATGACCTACAAAATAACAGTATTACCTGAACCCTATTTAAAAGATATTAAAATCCGAAATATCAAGAGAGTGTTTTCTGTGTATGAACAAAATCATTGTGACTTGAGCTCATATGGATAAGAATTGCACTACAGAATCTTAATGCTTCAGATTTTACCAAGGCTCTCTGTGTGTTGTTTGTTGGGCAACCTTTTCATGAGAAAATTTGTCTTACTAAAATCCATTTTAGATTCCCTATTTCAAGAATTGCTAATTGTCCTGATGTTTCCAGAAAGCTGATCATGACAGATGTGCTTACCCAGTCTACTAATTATAATAATGATAGCAGCTCTTTCTAAAAAGAAACATTACAAGTGAAATTAAAAAAATAACGAAGTAGAAAAAGATGAATGACTATCTTTGATTGTTTATTGAAATAACATGATTTGCTGCAACATTATGAAATGATCCTGAAAATAAAATATAAAATAAAAAACCTGCCTGCCTCATTTGATTTTCACAAGATGGCCTGAGAACCAACTTTTTTTTTTGCTTGGCCTTACAGGTTTTTTTAAATTTAACAATAAAGATATCGTGTTTCAAGAACATTATTTCATGGCAAAAAATTATCTACAATATATATATTTTTATTATTTTAAGAAGCAATATCCCTCTGCTAAGAGAGATAACTTTCTGAAGACAATTTCCCATGAAATTCAATGAATTGTCATGTCAGATTTCATAGATTTCATTCACTAGGACCATTGTATAGTCAACTCAATTGAATCTATTTCCATGTAAGTGGAAATTTTTGCGAGACACAAATTTAGTGATTTGTCCTTAAAAGCTGGTAATTTATTTTTAGCGAGATGTTATTTTAGCGATTTTAAAATGCACATTAAAAAAGCTATTACAAATAAAATGCAATTAATTTTTAGTGATATTCAATTTTAGCGATCTCGGCACCCTAGCTAATAATACCAAAATTAAATTCTCGCTAAATATTCTACTTATACAGTATATCGTTCAGATGTGGATTTCTAGTTTCTATTGCCAATATTTTTATTAATTATTTATGATAGTTTACCTAAAACATTTTTACACTCAGTTCCTTTAAACAGTGTAAATAGAGATATTTTAATCTCGTAACGTATAAGTCATTTAATTGTTACGAAATTTCAGATGCAGAATTGTTTATAAACATTTAATTAATATTTTGTTTCACTAAAAAATATTTTCAAGGGTGAAGGTGCTATTTATTAATTTATTGATTAATTGCTTATTTATATTAGATTACAATAGAATAGTTTCAGTACAAGGTTAAACATCAGATGAATTCCAAATAAATCGTTCATCTTGCTTTCACTGTTTGTTCACCATTCACTTTGCGCTCATGTTTGCCCTTTGTTAGCTCTACTGGTTAGAGACCAGAAAAGCTTATGCGATAGTAATGTGTCCGGCATCCGTCCGTCAGTCTGTCTGTCTGTAAACAATTTTTTTCAAAATGCTACTCCTCCTACAGTTTTGGTCTAATTTCAATATAACTTGGCACACAAGTAGACTAAACTAAGATACATAATTCTGTATATCGGTTTTTGATTTTGATAAACGGTGTTGCCGTGGTAACTAAAAATAGAAATTTCTGTGAAATTCTTTCAAAATGCTACTCCTCCTACAGTTTTGGTCTGATTTCAATATAACTTGGCACACAAGTAGACTACACTAAGAAACATAATTGTGTATATCGGTTTTTGATTTCCATGAATGGTGTTGCCGTGGTTACTAAACTAAAAATGTCTATAAAATTGTTTCAAAATGCTACTCCTCCTACAGTTTTGGTCTGATTTCAATATAACTTGGCACACAAGTAGACTACACTAAGAACATAAAGAGACTTTATCAAGGATCATTATTCTATTTATTGCTGTTGTAAAGTTTCAATTCCCAACTGCTTAAGTACTTTTTCTCTTCCTTTGCTATAAGTACAAACCAGTAGAGCTTCAGTCTCGACAGAGACTTCTGGTTTTTTATTTTGCGTTCACTAATGCTTCTGCTTTCACATAAGTTTCAGCTTTTCTGGCCCAGTGGTTCTTGAGAAGAGGATTTTAAAAGAGTTTTCCTATATATTTCAATGTTAAAATTGGATTCCGTATTGTGGCCCTGCCCTACCCCCAGGGGTCATGGTTTGAACAATTTAGAATCTACACTATCCCAAGATGCTTCCACATTAGTTTCAGCTTTCCTGGCCCAGTGGTTCTTGAGAAGAAGATTTTTTAATGACCCCACCCTATTTTTGTCTTTTTAAAAATTATTTCCCCTTGGAAGGGGGCTTGGCCCTTCACTTTAACAATTTAAACTCCCCTTCACCCAAGAATGCTTTGTATTAAGTTTGGTTAAAATTGGCCCAAGGGTTTTTGAAAAGAAGTTGAAAATGTGAAAAGTTTACAGACGGACAGGACAGACAGACGGACGGATGGACGATGGACATAAATGATGACTGTGATCAGAAAAGCTCATTTGAGCTTTCAGCTCAGGTGAGCTAAATAAAAACTTAAATCCCCTTCATTACAACTATAACAAGAGGCCCATAGACCACATCGCTCACCTGAGCACTGTGGTTAGGAAAAGCAGAAATTGGTTTATTATTGAAAAGTTTAAATCCAAAAGTAGTCCCGCAACCAATCATGGATTTGCTATTCTTGAGAAG